TCATGGCTGTATGTTCTTCTCATTTAGTACCCTGAATATGGCTTGCCAGGTCTCTGTGGATAGGTCTGACGTTATTCTGATGTTCCTCCCTCTGTACGTAAGGAATCTCTTCCCCCTAACTGCCCTGAGGATGGTTTCCTTGGTTCTAAGATTTGCAAGTTTTACATGCAGAGTTGTTGGCCTGTTTTCCTTGATCTTGGGAGGGGTCCTCTCTGCCTCTAGGACTCGAATGTCTGTTTCATTCCCCAGATTAGGGAAGTTCTCAGCTGCAATTTGCTCAAATACATCTTCTAGCCCTCTCTCTCTCTCCACTCCCTGCGGGATTCCAATTATTCTGACATTGGAATGCCTCCTGGTGTCACTTATTTATCTGATTCTATTTTCATGGATTCTGAGTTGTTTTTCCCTGGCCTCCTCTTTTCCCTTTTTATCTATTATATTGTCTTCCATGTCGCTTATTCTCTCTTCTGTCTCAGTTACCCTATCTGTTAGATTATCTAGATTGGATTGGATCTCATTGATAGCATTTTTAAGTTCTGCCAATTCAGGTTTTATTTCTGCCCTTAGAGACTCTATGTTGCCATTAATTGATTTCTCCATTCTGGCCATTGTCTTCACAATTGCTAGCCTGAATTCCATCTCCGACATCTTTGTTATATCTGCATCTATTTGTAAATCTGCAGCATAAGTCATAATCTCTGAGTCTTTTCTGTTTTGGAGGTCCTCCTCCTAGTCATTCTGTTGATGGGTGTTTGAGGGAATGTATAGAGTCCAAATTATTGACCAGAACCCAAGCAAGACGCACCTGTTTTCTTGGGACCTTAGGGTTGCTGGCCTCTTGTTTTCCCAGCCTGTCTTCTGCGGGAGGGGCCTGCTGCACTGTTACTCAGGCAACCCTGTTTGGGCGGAGTTGCCCTGTGCCCCTGTGGTGGGGGATGGGCTCAGTAGGAATCAGTCTTTGGGGCTTTTGTTCTCTGGAGCCTTTCCCTGGCGGCTTTCCGCATCTCTTCCATGAGTCAGAGCAGAAGAGACCGTTTCCAACCCTCTGCCTCAGAGCAGAGAGACCGCAGTCTGTTCTTTAGTGAGCTCTCCAGGCCACACTGTCTCTGTTTCTGTCCGTGCTGCTATAAACTTCAGCGTCCTGGGTTGTGTGCCCCTTGGCAGCGCTCCCAGTCCTGCCTCCAGGTGGGGGCACATCTCTGCCCTTTGTGCTTCTAAAACCACCAGCCGCTCCCAGTTTGCGCGCACGTGACTCTGCCACTCGGTGTTTCCACCCCGGGGGTTGCAGTTCACTGGCGCAACCCCGGCGCTCCGGGTTTCCGTCTCCGAGCCTGCAGTTTGCGTGCGCGTGACTGTCGCTCTGGGTTTCTGTCCGGGGGGCTGTGGTTCACGTGCGCGCAACCCTGCCGGTCTGGTTTTCCACCCTGGGGGCTGCCCTAAAGTCCTTTCCCGACGCTACAGGTCTGCGAGTCTGTGCCCCGTCCGCAGCGCTCGAGGCTGTCACTCACCGGCGGTGTAGGATCCCCTCATCCAGGCACCCTCCCGCCGCTGTTTATCCTCCGATATCTGCCCACAGAATCACGGCTCTCCACTTCGTACCTCAAAACCAACTGCCTGCGATATTCTGTTTGTAGAGATCCAGATCTTCTTACATCTCAGGCTGGTTTTGTTGGTGCTCAGAGTGGCCTGGTAGATATCCAGCTCAATTCCAGGGACCAGTTGAAATAGGGTCCCCTACTCCTCCGCCATCTTTCTGCCCTCCTCTATCTCCTCTTTTTTCATCTTATTTTATTTTTCCTTCCCTTCTCCTATGTTCACCTGTTATATTTCTTAAATTCCACATATGAGTAAAATCATATGGTATTTGTCTTTCTCTTGACTTATTTCACTTAGCATAATACCATCTAGTTCCATCCACAGCATTGCAAAGGGCAGGATTTCATTCTTTTTGATGGCTGAGTAATATTCCATTGTATATATCTATCACATCTTCTTTGCCATTCATCTGTCTATGGACATCTGAGTTCTTTCCATATTTTGGCTATTGTGAACATTGTTGCTATGAACGTTGGGGTTCATGTGCCCCTTGGAATCACTATGTTCATATCCTTTGGATAAATACCTAGTAGTGCAATTGCTGGGTCATAGGGTGGCTCTATTTTCAACTTTTTGAAGAACCTCCATACTGTTTTCTGGAGTGGCTGTACCAGCTTGCATTCCCACCAGCAGTGTAAGAGGGTTCCCCTTTCTCTGCATCCTCACCAACATCTGTTGTTTCTTGAGTTGTTAATTTTAAGCATTCTGACTGGTGTGATGTGGTATCTCATTGTGGTTTTGATTTTTATTTTTTCATGTGTCTGTTGGCCATTTAGATGTCTTTTTTGGAGACCTCACTATTCGTGTCTTCTGCCCATTTCTTGACTAGACTTTTGGGGGTTTTTGTGTGTGTCGAGTTTGATAAGTTCTTTATAGATTTTGGATACTAGCCCTTTATCTGATAAGATATTTGCAAATATCTTCTCCCATCTCTTAGGTTGCTTTTTAGTTTTATTGACCATTTCCTTTGCTGTACAGAAGGTTTTTATCTTGATCAAGTCCCAATAATTCATTTTTGCTTTTGTTTCCCTTTCCTTTGAAGACATGTCTAACAAAAGTTTGTGGCAGCCAAGGTTAAAGAAGTTGCTGCCTCTGTTCTCCTCTAGGATTTTGATGGATTCCTGTCTCACATTTAGGTCTTTCATCCATTTTGAGTTTATTTTTATGTATAGTATAAGAAAGTGGTCCAGTTTCATTCTTCTGCATGTGGTTGTCCAATTTTCCCAACACCATTTGTTGAAGAGACTTAGACAGTCTTTCTAATCATCATATTTAATAGCTGTATGATATTCCATCAAGCTAAATGCACCAAAATATATTTATAGCTAGCATTAGCTTTTAAGAAAAATAGTTGACACAACACTCTAGGGTCCCTCCATCCTATGGGCAGTTACATTTCTCCTCGTATATAGGTAATATTCCCTTGCTACAACACATATAATCTAACAGACAGAAAATGATGTTCCTGATAATGGCAATAAACAGCATATTTAGGGAATTAAGAAGCTACACTGGACATCTCTACCAGTTCTTTCTTTACCAGAACTCACTTTTTTTCCTTCTTTTTCATTTCTGTTATATTCTATAGTGGTGTTGAGCTCTAGCATCCCTGCTATACTTTGGGGATGTGTTGCTAATTTGTTATTTTCCTGAGACCTTTCAAATAGGAGCAGTGAACAAAGCTATTAAGTATATTCTGAACTGGCTTTTCAGGGGTTGAATGAGCTATCCAGGCTGGTTTCTTATGTCTTCCAGTGTGGTTACTTACCAGTACCTACTACTTAAGCAGAAATGACACGCTGATTTGACATTACCATTTTTTTCCAGCTGTGCTCACAGGCCTATCTTAGGGAGGAACATTGGGAGTGGGGTGAGGAAATCTCTGCCCCTTCCCCTAATGTTGAGATGGAAAAGTTCCTGCCGGATGATATGCTCACTGCTTTCCTTTCTCCACTATAGCTAATACACTTCCAAAGGTGATAGGGTAAAAGAGAGAAAGAGAGATGGAGGAGGGAGACAGAAGCAAGCAAACCCTGGGAGTTACATTCTGGCAGGTAGTTTATTCTTCTGTCCCTTAGTCAAGGAATGCTTTCTAGGGAGGCAGAATTTTGGGAGCTACTTCAGTAAAAGAAGTAGCACCTAGGGTATTCTGGAAATAGAGGACATCTTTTTCCTGGTCAGAAATTGAATATGAATGAATACAGGACATCTTGAGCATGTCAGCCAAAGAGAACAGTAGCCATTAGTTATATATATGTCAACACAGGCACAGACTATTAATTTGCAAATTGTTGAAAGACACTTAGTATTTAATGGCTGAATTGGAGGGTGAGAAGTGATCACAGAAGTGAGATTTTGTAAAGGGCATTGAAGCCAGGAATGAGGACAGTGGCCATTAAAAGTTTACACCAGGGGCACCTGGGTGGCTCAGATGGTTAAGTGTCTGCCTTTGGCTCAGGTCATGATCCCAGGGTCCTGGGATCGAGCCCCACATCTGGCTCCCTGCTCAGTGGGGGGCCTGCTTCTCCCCTTCCCTCTGCTTCTCCTCCTGCTCATATTCTCTCTCTCTCTCTGTATCTCTCTATCTCGAATGAATAAATTAAAAAAAAAAGTTTACACCAATTGGTTCAGAATGGAAGATGGTGTTTTTTTGTTTTTTTGTTTTTTTATTTCTTTTTTACCCTGACTTACAGTGTGCCCTGAGTCTGGTTGTATTATCTTAGTACTCTCTTATCAGATCAAGAATCTCTTTCATTGAATCTACCCTTTCATCAATGGCTAGCTGTATTAATTTGTCTGTTTATTCATGAATGTATCCTGAGCACTTACTCTTTTAAAAACACCATGCTTGGGCACTTGTGGACTTGTTGTCCAAGCTCATCCAAATGATATCTGATAGTCAGCTATCTTAGTTGGTTAAGACATTCTCTTTAAGGAATGGTTTTGCTTTGTTAATTCAAAGTTTTCCTGACTTGGCCTCTGTTTCCAAATTGTTGTCAATGTTATTAATACATTTTGGATGGGTCCTATAAGAAATGGGGACTTTTGAGATGTTAATGGATCTAGCTAAATCAATGACTACTAAAACGAGTAAAAATGTGCTTAATCAGCTTCTGAGAAAAGGCCCTATGACTTTTGGGATCCTTGTCATAGAGAATGGAGGGGAAAGTTCTATAGTCTGGATTCTGTACTCTGAGGAACTTTGCTTGTGATCCAGCTTTCCTAATAACTCACTGGTAGAGTGACTTCCTTCTTTCAAACTCAATTTCCTCATATGAAAAATAGAAATGATTATTGCCTGTCTATTTCATAAAGTAAGAATGAACCTTCTTAGTGCTTAATAAATGGTAAAGCCCTGATGGAGTCAGGAACATCCTCATCCTGGACTTTTCCTTTGTGTGCAGGGCTACCTGAAGCAATGCCGGAAGAGAAGGGACATGTTCAATGATGAGCAACTGAAGATAATCTTTGGTAACATTGAAGACATCTACAGGTTTCAGATGGGCTTCGTGAGAGACCTGGAGAAACAGTACAACAATGATGACCCCCACCTCAGTGAGATAGGACCCTGCTTCCTGGAGCACGTAAGCATCTTCCTCCTTTGTAAGGGTTTTGAGAGGGGATAGGAAGAAATGGAAGGAGTGTCTGAACTGTCTGGTCCTGCTCAGCTTCCTTGTCCTGTGGTGGGGTGTAGATTCCTATAACCCTGATGTAACCCCCTTGCCAGGGTATGAGGATTTAGGAAGGGTACTGTGATTTGGCCTAGGACTTTTTCTTTACCATTCCCTTCCCTTTTTTTCGCTCCTTCAAGAAAGCTACCAGTAGGATTTTCTTCATTTTCTTTTTTCTGTACCTGTTGGGTTCAGTTTCTATGGGACTGTTTTGGAAGAAACTCTGCACATATTCACTGCATGGAAAATCCAGGAATCTGAGAAATGTAGTCAGCATGAAAGTAGGCCCCTTCAAGACATATAGAGGAGAGCAACAAGGTAGAAGAAGTGACAAATATAGGAAAAGGGGCCATGTGACTTAGAGGAAGGAGCACTAGGAAACAGGAAAGCAAGGATTTGAGTCCTGTGTCTGTAATGACTGTCTAGGTAACTTTGGGTAAGTCCCTTACCTTCTTTGGGCTTCCTCATCTGGAATATAAGAAGGTTTCACTGTACACTTTTGTGGTTCTCTAATATTTTTTTTTGTTTCATTCACAGGTGACTTAGTTTTTCTGCCAATTCTTCTCCTTTGTATAAAGTATTTATTTTTAAAGACGTAATATGTGCACATGATACAAAATTCAAATGCCACAGAAAAGTGTGCAACTAGAAGTAAATCTTTTTGCAAATTCCCCATATGTTTGTTTGGGGACTATCCCTAATACTGCTCTTATATTCAGTGATTTCCTAGAAGGACTCACACGAATCAGCATATAGTCATACTTGTGGTTATGATTTGTTATAGCTAAAGGATTCAAAGCAAAATCGGCAGAAGGAAAAGGCACATGGCACAAAGTCTGGAGGAAACTAGGGACAAGCTTCCAAGACACCTCTGCCAGTGGAGTCACATAGGATACATTCTCAATTACCCTTGCAATAAGTTGTGACAACACATGTGAAATGTTTTCTACCAGAGACACTCATTAGGGAATCAGTACCCAAGATTTTTATGGGGAACTGGTCATGTAGGCATGCTCTGCCTAGAATGTACCAAAGTTCCAGACTCCCAGATGGGAAGCAGGTATTCAGCATAAGCCACATTGTGTATACAAACTGTGTAGGCACAGTGAGTCGCTCATGTCAGGGAATGATGAGAACCCTCTGGAGATCCATGTTCCAAGATACCAGCCAAAAACCAACCTTCCAAGCAGGTCTTTCTAAGAATAGCAGTCTCAGGCCTGATAAGTTAACTTTTTCTGGACAGTATTTAAAATGGTTCAGCCATTTCAGAAAGCACCTGGGCAGTATTTACATGGGTATGACATAGTGTTGACATAGTGTATGACAACATGTATATGACATAGTGTTTCCGTATTTATCCCAGGGAAATTCTTACAGAGGTTCATGAGGGAGCATTTGCAAGGCTGTTAATTGCATGGTGGTGTTGTGTGTGGTGGAGTGCAATTAGAAGCAACTTAGGTATTTACCACCAGGGGATGAATAACAAACATATAGAAGATGCTTACTGTGGGGTATTGTGTTGCAAGGAGCAATAAACTAGATGTATGTAGTTATAGTAACAAACAACAGACTAGATGTATGTAACTTATAGCAATATGTATAGATATCATAAACACAGTTTTGATTGGGAAAGTAGAATATAGAATAGTGGTTCTTTGTTGGAGCCTGCCCTGTGCATTGTAGTGTGTTTAACAGCATTCCTGTTCTCTACCCACTGAATGCCAGTAGTACCCCAACACCACTGAGTTGTGACAACCAAAAATGTCTCCAGACATTGTCAAGTGTCCCCTGGGGGACAAAAATTACCACTGATCTATTGAAATGATCACATGCTTTTACCCTTTAATCTATTAAAGTGGTGAATTTGGATTGAGTAATTTTTATATGTTAAATGAACATTGTATTGCTGGAATAAAGCCTACCTAATCATGGTATATTATCATTTATTTTACATGTTAGTTTGCCTTTTTAAAAATATTGGATTGTTTATGCTTTTATTATTCAGTTCTATAATGTCATTTTTATCAGCTTTGTTTAGACGTAATTTACATACACTAAGATTCACCAATTTTTAGTGTAAAATTTGATGAATTTTAACAAGTGTATATAGTTGTATAACTACCATATTATCAAGATATAGAACATTTCTACCACTTCATTAAGTTTTCTTATTCTCCCTTGGTAGCCAATCCCTGTTCCCACTCCTGGCCCTTGCTAAACTGTGATCTGCTTTCTGTCACCATAATTTTACTTTTTCTACAGTGTCATATAAATGGAATCATACAGGGGTAGTCTTTGTGTTTAGCTTCTTTTACTTAACAGAATGTCTTTGATGTCATCCTGTTGTTCTATGTATCAGTAGTTGGTTCTTTTTTATTAGTAATATTCCATTGTATGAATATACCACCCATTCATACACTAGTGCATTCCAGGATATCTGGGTTGTTTACTAGGTTGCTTCCATCTGAGGGATTACTAGGTTTCATGTTATGTGTTTATTTTTGTTTGTTTGTTTTTTAACCATTCTAAAAGATATGTAGTAGCATTCCCTTGTGATTTTAATTTGCATTTCCCTAATGGCTAATGATGTTAAGCATTTTTTCATGTATTTATTTGCTATCTGTATAAAATCTTTGGTGAAAGGTCTGTTCATGTCTTTTCCACACTTCTAAGTAGGTTGTTTTCTTATTGTTCAGTTTTGAGAGATTTTTAATTTATTGTTCATAAGTTGTTGGTCAGATATGTGAATCAGAAAGATTTTCTCCGAGTTTGTGGCTTAGCCTTTCATTTTCTTAACAGTATCTTTGAAAAGCATAAAATTTTAATTTTGTTGAAATTCAGTGTATCACTGTTTTCTTTAATGATTCATGTTTTTTGAGTCTTATTTAGGAAAACTTTGCCTAACCCAAGGCCACAAAGATTTTCTCCTGTTTTCTTATTAGAAGTTGTGTAGTTTTGTTTATTATATATAGGTCTATGATCTTTTTTCAGGTTATTTTTATATACGGTGCAAAATAAGGGTCACAGTTAATTTGTTTCCAAATGGATATCTAGTTTTGTTCCAGCATGGCTTATTGAAAATCTTAACTCCTACATTAAATTACTTGGACACATTGGTCAAAAATCAATCATATATGTGGGGGTTTATTTCTAGGGAAATTATTATATTCCAGTGACCTATGTGAGTATTCATATACAAATACCATACTGTTATTTCTTATTGCTATTTTTAATTGAGATATAATTGACATATAATGTATTAGTTTTAGGTGTATGACATAATAATTTGATATTTTTATATATTGCAAAATGATCACAAAATGATCACAATAAGCCTAGCTAAGATTTATCACCATTCATAGGTTAAAAATATTCTCACACCATCTTGTTTAATGTAGCTTCATAGCCAGTCTTGAAAGCAGGTGGTATAAGTGCTCCAAATTAATTCTTCTTCAAAGCAATTTTGGCTATTATAGGTGATTTGTATCCTATAGAAATTTATCTCATTACAAGGAGTAATTTTTTCTCTTCTTCTTTTTTTTTTTTTTTTAAGTAGGCTCCACATCGTGGAGCCTGATGTGGGGCTTGAACACATGAGCCTGAGATCAAGACCTGAGCTACATCAAGAGTCAGACTCTTAACCGACTGAGCCACCCAGTCGCCCCTTTCTCTTCTCTTTATTGTAACGAGAGATGGATATATGAGATGATGGATGTTATCCTATTATATAATCATTTCACAACATATATATTCAAACTATCATGCTGTACACCTTAAATTTATACAGTGATGTATGTCCATTTTTTCTCAGTAAAACTGGGGGAAAATCAGCTTGCTAAAGTTCTACCAAAAAACAAACAAGCAAAAAAACACTGCAAGCATTTTAATTAGGTTAGAATTAAATCTGTATATCAATTTTGGGAAAATTTGTAGACTTTCAGCTCTATGAACAAATATCTATCTATCTATGTTTCTATAATTTCTTCTAGCATTGTTGCTAGTTTTCATGGTATAAATCTTGACCTTATTTTTAAAAATTGATTTCTAGGTGTTTTTTGTTTTTGTTTTTGTTTTTTTTTTGCTGCTACTGTAAGAGTATTTTTATTTCAATTTCCTATAGTTTGTTGCTATGATAGATAAATACAATTGATAAACACAAGATAAATACAACTGATTTTTGTGTATTGATATTGAATCCTGACATAATACTGAATTTAATAATTGGTTATAATATTTTATATCAATTCCTTAGGATTTTATACACTTACAATTATATTGTTTCATTTCTGAACAAAGACAGTTTATTTCTTCATTTTATTTTTGTTTTTTTAAAAAAAATTTTTTACAAATAGTTGACACGCAATGCTACATTAGTTTTTATTTCCTCATATCCAATCTATATGCCTTCTCTTTCCTTTTCTTATGTTATTGCACTGGTGAAATGGTAAAAGCAGGCATCTTTTGTTCTGTACTTGATCTTAGGGACAAGCATTCAATATTTCACCATTGGGAATGATTTTAGCTTTAGGTTTTTCATGGTTGGCCTTTATCATATTGGGGGCATTTCTCTCTAATCCTAGTTTCCTGGTGGTTTTTTATTATATATATGTTTTTTTCAAATACTCATGTATCTACTGAAATGATCATATGATTTTTCATTTTATTATTTTAATGTAGTGAATTGGATTGGGATAAATCACACTTAATCATGGTGTATCATGCTTTTAATATACTATTTTGCTTTTTTTAAAAAATTTGGTTGTTTGTCATAAAAAGGTGAGAGACAAACACTGCATAATGAGAATAGGCTTTAGAGAATTCAGTAACTCCATCAAGTGTAATAAAATTTGCATTAAAGGGATCCCAGAAGAAGAAAGAGAGGTGGCAGGGGGTCAGAAAATATATTTGAGTAA